GGGGCGGGGGGGGGGCAGAGAATCATGCCCCTTCACGTTTCCAAATAACCAAAATTTACCCCCTTTATTGTGAAATATATCATCTCTTTCTTTCCTTCTTTTTTTATAATTAAGGAATACATATTGGAAACAGAGTGGTCCACTAAAAAGCATTGCTTGTACAATTGTGGACCCCTCATTCTAAATCTCTTTTACAAGTGCTGTTTTTTATCGCCCAATTGTTCTCATTTATAATGGTATTATACCCTAGGTTGAGCATATAGAATTTGAAACCCTCCTGTGTTTGATTCATCCCTCTCTACATTGTATTCCTCTTATATAAAAACATTTCTCTCAAAATGAGAGCGTTAAATACTTGGTTTGGCTAGTTGTAAAGAAATAAGCCATGAAGTCTCTTTTACTTCGTGAATTCTATTTTGTCACAAACTGAATAACACAGCGGTTATAATTCATGGAGTGTACACATGCACAATGGTACCGACTTCGGTGTTTGAAGCGATGCCAAAACACAGGCGCCATTAAATCAAAAGGGGAATCCAAAGAAAATTAACTCTTAGAATACTAGGCAGAATAATATACGTGAATTTACGAACGTGTTTAATATACTTTATGTATTAATTGTATGCATTCAAAATGTTTGATCGAGGCAATGCCCTGATTACCTCATTGTCATCTCATATGAATTTTAAGGTATCGAATATAATTATGCTGCTCCATGGCCGCCAGAAGCCTGGGTTCAGATATCTAATTATACTATTTCCCTCCTTGAAATTGTTTCTAGTTTAATGTGAATGTATGTCACCTTGAGAAGACGAACAGAACATACGTTTCCACTCTTTATTTTAAAATGGGAGGGGAAAGGGGGGGGGGGTAACATGCATTCGCTTTATATTTATTGAAATGTTGATGATTGCCAAATAAAAAAGAGGATGAAAGAGATAAGCCTAACAGTTGGAGAATGACAGATATTTGAACTATGATTTAGTTCGCTGCACAGGACTTTGGAACTTGTTTGTAACGACAAAAATAACAACTCTACTTTGCGAGAAAAAAATCAGTGTGTTGTATGCTTATGTTTGTAACATGAAGAATGCAACTGGTTTATCTGCTAGAAAAGATTAAAATCTTAATCGTAACATTTCTAGTCGAGCGTACTGAGAGAAGTAGACTATTACAAGAAACTGGGCTAGAATACGATGTCTGGTAAATCGGTGCTTCATCAAGTATGGAGGACATAAATCAACAGCTTCGTGTGGCTGCCTTTAGTGGCCATCTTGAGGTCACCAAATATCTCATCAGCCAAGGGGCTGAAGTGAATAAGGTTGATAATGACGGTTGGACTGCATTACACCTTGCTGCTGCAAAGGGCCATCTTGATGTCACCAAATATCACATCAGCCAAGGAGCTGAAGTGAATAAAGAAGAAAATAAAGGTCTGACTGCATTACACTTGGCTGCTATGGATGGCCGTTTTGATGTCACCAAATATCTCATCAGCCAAGGAGCTGAGGTGAATAAGATAGCTAGTAACGATAAGACTGCATTACACCTTGCTGCTCTACATGGCCATCTTGATGTCACCAAATATCTCAGAAGCCAAGGAGCTGATGTGAATAAGGTTGATGATGACGGTAGGACTGCATTACTCAGTGCTGCCTTTAGTGGCCATCTTGAGGTCACCAAATATCTCATCAGCCAAGGGGCTGAAGTGAATAAGGTTGATAATAACGGTATGACTGCATTACACCTTGTTGCACTAAACGGTCATCTTGATATCACCAAATATCTCATCAGCCAAGGAGGAGAGATTAATAAGGGATTTAGTGACGGCGTAACTGCATTACACTGTGCTTCTAAGAATGGTCATCTTGATGTCACCAAATATCTCATCAGCCAAGGAGCTGAGGTCAATACGGTTGATAATGACGGTAAGTCTGCATTACTCTGTGCTGTCTTTAGTGGCCATCTTGATGTCTCCAAATATCTCATCAGCCAAGGAGCTGAAGTGAATTACGCGGAAAGAACTAACGGTAGGACTGCATTACACCTTGCTGGTTCAAAAGGCCATCTTGAGGTCTCCAAATATCTCATCAGCCAGGGAGCTGAAGTGAATAAGGAAGGTAATGGCGGCATGACTGTATTACACTTAGCTGCTGAAAGTGGCCTTCTTGATGTCACCAAATATCTCATCAGGCAAGGATGTGATATGAATAAAGGAGATAATAACGGTTGGACTGCATTACACATTGCTTCTCTCCAGGGCCATGTTGATGTCACCAAATACCTCATCAGCCAGGGAGCTGAAGTGAATAAGGAAGATAATCGCGGCATGACTGTATTACACTTAGCTGCTCTAAGTGGCCGTTTTGATGTCACCAAATATCTCATCAGGCAAGGATGTGATATGAATAAGGAAGATAATAACGGTATGACTGCATTACAAATTGCTTCTCTCCGGGACCATGTTGATGTCACCAAATACCTCATCAGCCAGGGAGATGAAGTCAATAAGGTTGATAATGACGGGTACCAAAGTATCGCTGATCTATTCATCGACCGTACACATTCCAAGGTAAAAATATTGATACGCACTTTATGTCGAAATTATTTACCTTGATGTTTTCAATACATGCATGCAGAATAAGTACTGAAATTCAATTAAGTGAATATTAGGCATAGGCTACCTACCAATATTTTCTTTTTATTTGACCAACTCGATTTTGTATCATCAACAATAACCATACATAATTATAACGGGGTAGCCTCGCTATTCCTAAGGATCGCTATTGATAAGGATCACTTTTCATAACGCGAAATTTCCCATACATTAAGGACCGTTATTCATAAAACGGAAAGGCCCTGGGGTCACTATTCGGCCGTTATTCATAAGGACTGCTATTCGTAAAACGAAATCGGGGTCGCTATTCATAAACATGAAGAAGGGGCGCTATTCATAACCAACATTGTGGGTCACTACTCGTAATAACCGCTATTCATAATACGCAATGAGGGTCGCTATTCATAAGACGAGAAGAGAGTCGATCACTATTCATAATACGAGGAGAGGGTAGCTATTCATAATACGAAATGAGGGTCGCTGTTAATAATAAGGAATGAGGGTCGCTATTCATAATACGGAATGAGGGTCGCTATTCATAAAACGGAATGAGCGTCGCTATTCATAAAAAATTAAATAAGCGTAGCCAGGGGGCGACACATGTCCCTGAATATTTGTCGAAAACGTTCATTGAAAACATACATTTCTGAACAAATTAAGAAAAAAGGCGTGGCCCCCAAAATGTAAGCGACCCATCACTCCAAGCCCCATTCCATTTATGTACTTTATAGACAAGTTACAATGTTTGCTTAAAACCTTTCGAATTATTGGATTTAATTGATCACATGGCAGTACCTGTGTTCACAGAAATTTGGCTTTCGTAGCAATGTAAAAAATATATATAAAAATATCAAGTTTTCATGCAGCGCATTTTCTTATATCCAGCTCGCCCAGAATGGTTTAGCTGATATACATCTTGCCATACAACACGGTCACACGTCCATCATTGAGCAGTTAGTTTCTGAGGGAGCTGATCTCAATGTCCAGTCAACTGACGGCCAGACGTGTCTCCATATTGCCATTAAACTCTGCTATAAGAGCGTGAAAATTGTGCAAGAAACTGACACACTAAGGAAGGTGAGTCATACCCCCAGTAACATCAACGAGACCGACACCAGACCGACGAGAGTCTGAAAAACAAATTAACATTACGGCCAAATATTTGTCAGTTCTGGAGTCTACATGGAACCGTTATAGCGATGTCACTAACATATTGCTCCTCTAAAACCAAAAATCTGATACCCGTGATTGGCCCCAGAAATATGTATGTTGGTGTGTGGGCGAGTGTTTGTGTGTGTTGGGAAGTTTTTAACGAAAATATGGATTTCCACTACCGTGATTCCAAGATGCAGCGTTAAACTTTGGGTATTATACTCATCCACCCTGACTATTGATGGGCGATTCTGTTCTAATAAAATAAAAATTAGTTATGTTTGTATGTTTCAGATCTCTAATGAGAATTACAAGGGCGAACTATCTCCTGAGAAGGCCTTAGTGTTCTATCTCCTCGAGAATGGAGCCAAGTTAGATGTGAAGGATGAGATAGGCAACCTTCCAATCCAGTATGCCAAGGACGAAGTGATCAAACAAATGATATTATCCAGGTGATTTTTTCAGGTCTAAAAAATTACATTATGGCCATCAGTCATGTCACTTGTAAGACTAGATAGTCATCAAAACGCATGGAAATAATGCGTTTTTCCATCTTGCTCTTTTGAGATTAGGTAACGGAATGAAATATTTTAAAATAGAAAAGTTCACTAGGTGTTATTGTAAATCCTAACAGTTGGTCATATAATATATGTGTTCGGACAATAAAATTGTACACTATGCGAAAACTGTGACAATTAATGTTCGGGGCTATAGGTCAGGCTTACTAGGTCAACTACTTTATCTTTGTTTTCCTTCTATACTCTTCTACTCAGATAGACAGTATACATTTCACACCAAAATTGATTAGAAGATATTATCTAACTTCGGTTCTTTAAATGTTTGAATTTTGTGTGAATTGTATTTTACGGCATTACCAGGTGCAAAGGTGTATATTATTTTCATCTTTTCATGCGTAATGCGAAGATTAGAGCCTCGTTTTTAAAAATAATGGGCCTCGATAAGCGTCTGAATTCAACAGTTGTTGGTTTTTTGCCAATATCATGCATGTCATTTAATTTATAGTACAAACAAATACATGTTTTCACAGCCCATAAGAATTGACGTTTTGATGTATGATTAATTTCAGATTACCTTCCTTAGAGGAGATCCAGTCTTATCGAGGTAAGAACATCCTACACAAACAAACGCCTTTACTCGGTATAATAGCTAGGTGATTCTGATATCTTAATATTTTCTTCTCATCCATTAAGTTACGGATTAATGTCTAGTGATGATCAAACATGGTATTTCGGGTTATCAATCACGAAGAACAAGGAATTTGATAATTCATTGTCCGGGTAATTTACTCAATTGCACGCAAAACTTATCCCTTACGAACCACTACATTCGTGTTTATGTATGTAGAACCACCTCTTAGGTTAACATCAATGGACTGAATACAAGAGATAAACGAAGAATGTGCCAAAAATGAAAGGAAAAAAAAAAGAAAAAACAGATACATGTAATTAAAAAAGTGTTATAGTTAAAACATTATTGCCTTTTCATAGGCCCTAATTAAAATATTAGAAACCAGTATTAAATATTTCAGAGTTTAGGTAATTAACATAACCTTTGAAAACGGACATAGAGTCAAGTCAGTTATATTTGAGGAAGAGATCGAAATGAAAACTATATTAATTTGTTATTGTTTTGTTTTCATTCCAAAGAAAATCCCAATGTGCATATAAATCTACTTTTTTATTTATATGTGCCCTTATTACCGTGCCATTTCCTTATGTTTTAAATAAACAACAGATGAACCATCAACACCTGGCGTTGTCTCTGTTGAAGTCGAAAGGAATGCAAGTACGGAAGTCGAACTAGAGGAGCATGGCGTATCATTGTTTATTCCTCCGGGGGCTGTGGATCAGAATGACCCGTGCAAGATCACCCTGACCCTGTTAAGAGACCCTCCCAGTGTTGACATCCGAGATGATGAATCAGTGGCCTGCTACGGGATCAGATGTGATCCTCCAAGCATGATTTTCCGCCAACCTGTTAAGATAAAGATACCACACTCTACATTGGCCATCAACCCTGATCAAGTGAAACCAGACATCGTTTCTCATGTATGGGATTCAGTAAACAGTAAGTCCATTTGGACAGATGCAGAATCTGACTCGTTTTTTTTTACTGCTGGGGTAAACGAAAATTGAGATGCCCTGTGATCCCTTTTCAGCAAAACTAGGCAATGTACATTCAGGACAACACTGAGTAGTTGCGATATGGCTAAGTGGTGGAGATTGGTTTTGTAACCGGGTGGTCCCCGGTTTAGAATTGAGTCGATGTGCTAGTGCTCTTGGTAAGTCATTACTTACTAAGTGGACTTCAGAGGACTTAAAGATGTTTGTCTCATTGTTTGTTTAAAAAAAAGTAAACTCCTTTCCTTGCAGTCCGGTAAAAAAAAAAGCCCCAAAAGACTTCTCGGTATATTATTCCCTCTTGTGTTTTACGTTTCCATTGTAGGTACATGCAATAGAAAGCAAAATAGACTGATTTATGATTGTGGACTGTAAATGCTTTCTAAGTAATCTCGGGGTTAGTAGTTCTAGATGTCGTTGTCGTCACAGCGCCATAGCATCGGGAGGAACAATTTAAAACTCCCATTTTTCTGTTGAAATTTTCAATGAAGGGAAATGGGTGAAAGGGGTCTGTTTAATAGGACCATTTGGAATAATTATTATCCACACTGACTACATTACTGATAGAAATATTAGGTGTCACCATATTCAGGTGCCACAGTTTAACGGACAAGTTGGCTCCATCGCGGAATAACACATCTTAAAACAAACGCATTTTTGTTTTGTTACCCCCTGGCAATAGATCTACCAAGAACATCAAGAATGAGATCATCCAGCTCACCAGACGAACCACCATACTGCAGATTGTACAAGAGACATCTTGAGCTGTACATTGGTCAATGTGCTGAGTGGTGGGTTCTTATTCCTCTTGAACAGCAGGTGATCCGACACCAACTTATGTGCACTCCATACATCCCAGAAACCGTAGAAAGAGGCAAAGAGATTGAAGTTCATCTCCATATGCATGCCGATGTTCCTGGCATTGATGCGGTTAGTACTATTAACGTTTTCTTTTAGTAAATTTTAAATGTACAGTTCTATTAGAACTGTCAACTACTGCACATTTCCGGAAGATTATAGGGTAGTTGTTTAAAATCCGACTTTCTGGGGTTATTATGTGCAAGGCCTTACAACTTGCTAACACCAGACTTGATGGCATTTCTAGAAGTGTGATTCAAATTGCAGACGCCATTAAAATTGTATTGAGACATAATTTCATTCAAAATTACTCCGAGCATGGCCTTTATGCCAAAGTGTATAGAATGATGTTAAGGAGCTGGATTTTATCGGATAGTTCTCGGATAGTACCAAGATAAAGTATGGAATGACATTCTAATGTTCTCAAGAATCATCCATTAGCGGTCTATGGGCTTTTTCCGAAATGCTGTCTGAGAAAAGTTTGGTGAACTCCCAATTTTCACTAATCGATGTTTTGGAATTCCACGGCAATAAAATTAAATAATAAATAATAATATAGAGTATTTGTAATGCGCCAACTCCACATGACTAATGTGTTCGAGGCGCATGGAGAAGAAAAACTATAAGTACACAAAAATAAATGGAATTATGAATATGATTGTGAAAATGGTGTTGTTAAGTGAACCCCGGGATTTACCCCAAATTTTTACCCCGGGACACTTCCGATTCATTAGGCCCATGATTTACTCAATTGCTGGTCCTTCCTTCTTTGAAAAAGGATGTTCTACACGAGGAGAAGCATCAGTCGTACCGCAAGGCCCATCCTTCGGTCCCATTTAGCATCATATCTCATTCAGGAGACGTTACAGTGGCACCCGTTTGTGAGGGGAAGAAGGCAGAGACTAAGGTACGAAAAGAAGTTTGTCCTTAAAGAGGTAGTCCACCCTGATATAAAGTTGGATTTAATGAAAGCAGAACAATTACAAGAACAGGTCAGTGAAAGTTGAGCAAAATCCAAATAAAATCAAGAAAGTTAGGAATATTTGAATTTACGATCAATCGTACACAAATTGGCAACTATGTGACGCAGCTTGCGAAATCCCTTCTCATTTTCTCTGTATTTTAAAACAAATGAGGACTTTCTTTTTTCCTTACATAAAATTTCAATCATTATGTGCCCCCTAAAAACAATTATTGCAAATGCGTTTCTTTACAATCCATGTATGAAACGAATCTACTACGTTTTCAATCACCTAGAAAATGAAAGTTTTTTTCTTCTGTACAGAGCATATTGGAGAGAACCTCGCAAGATACTTCACAGTGTTGCCAATTTGTGTATCACTGATGGCATTACTTCACAAAATCATTATTTTCAAGCGGATATCGCTCAAACTCTCATTAACATTTGTGTTCATCTAATTTTCGGCTTTTATCAGTAAGGGTCGACTCCCCCTGTGATAGTCTCCCTACTTGATGTTTTGACTTTTGGCACTGAAAAAAAAAACCGGCTAAAGTTTTGAGTTAGCGTTGCAGTAAGGTTATAGGTTAGATCTACGGCCAAGGTTAGGATCGCTTTAGTGTTAGTGTTAGGTCCATTTAAAGTACAACAATAACCTAAAATATATGTTGTGAACAAGTAGAATGTATAAAACCAACCTCAATTTTTTTTAATCGTTTTTTTATGATTTTGTTCAACAGTTGGGTTCCGGCGCAGCAAGCACGGCTCGGCGCGCTGGCTGAAATCAGTAACTCAATGTTTTGTAGGTGTCTCCGAGTATGTTGTATAAGGGGTAAAGGGAATAGGTTCCCATCGGATAGATTTTTTCTACCTTTCAGAAAATCAAGTAGGCCTTTACAGTTTAAGGATAATAATAAGGGAATATAGTCTAATACTTCGTTAATTTAAACACATCCCACAAAGTATTGAGACATGATAAGACTACAGCCCTATCCAGAAAACTGACCCCAGGACAACCCTCTGGATTATTTACCCCAGGATAATTATCCACAGGCAAAGTATAACCCGACAATTACCACCAAGGCAATTATCCCAAGGAAATTACCTCTAGTGCAATTAAACCCCAAGACGAATAGCCTCAAGACAATTGAGTGTGCGTGGCTGACGTCTTTTGCCTGAATATCAATTATCAGGTTTTCGAATTATGCAAGCGAGCGAAGAGGCCGATTCAATTCTTACACTCATCGAGAAAAAAAAAATCGTCATCAAATAGACGTATATTTGAACGGGGGAGAATTGTTTAAAAAAATATGCAAAGAGACCACCTCAGTGCCTGTAGCAGGGGACATTATTGTCCATTCGAAATTCTCGGGGGTGGGGGGGGTGAAGAGTTTCACTGTAAAAAGTGTCAGAGGTAAAAATGCCCGAGGTATTATTGTTTACATATGAGCCAATTCAAGGTTGGAATTGTCCATGGAGGTACTTGTCCTGTGTGTAAATATCCGCAGTGATTGCCCGGAGCAAAATTATTCTTTGCCTTTTGTCCTGAGGGTAATTGTCCGGGCAGGTCTGCAATGGTTTAAACATGTTCGTCGCAATAACATTAGAAGAATAACAACTCAGTTGTTATGGAGAGGTTCAAATTAATAATTTTTAAAAAAAATTCGCCTCTTTTAAACATCTTCCTTTCATTAAAATGAAATAAATCTCTATTGAATATCTGAAACCCTGAATATCTGAAACCAATAAATGAAATGAACCCTGAAATCCTGAAAATAGTTCTGAGTAGGACAAGTTTCAAAATGTTACCATACAAAAATTATCATGGCAAATGTCGCATGAAGAAAATAAATGATGACATAAAGTCGCAAACACGGATATGAAACCCCTTTTCTTGTTACTTTGGGGATTTCTTTCTAGCAAAAAAGAATGTTTTTTGTTTCTTACAATTTTAATTTTTTCGTCCTTTAGCTGCTCTCTCTAAAGGAAATTCACAACCGAATGAGACATACTGTAGTCTTAAAGGTGCCCCCGAGTGAGGACGATACTTCATTTGACGTGATATCCATCACAGTTACACAGTCTGGGAACCAAGGGGTGTCTCGATCAATGGCATTCGGCATTATATACGAAGGTTTGTCTACAATATGTAACCCATCCCAGTATTGCATTAAAGAGAGATTTACTTTTTTATTATTTTTACAAGCTATGATTTTACATGAAATTATTAACGTTATTTTCGTCAACGTTCTTTTTTTATCGGCAAATTAATTTCCATTAACATTCTTAGCTCCGGCTGTTACTTTAATAAACTAGACTTAACAGGAAAGTTTTGCTCGGGAAAACGAAAGTAATCATCAGTTTTGTTTTGTATAAAGATATACCTTTACTGGCATATTATTATGTTATATTTCTTATTAGCTGTTAGGAGAGTTTCTTATGATCCACAAATAGTTTGATTAATTGGGACATACACGCGTTTGAAATTCATTGGTAGACATTCCATATTCATTGATATATATAATTTGTATTCATTACAATCGTTTAAAAAAAAAACATTTACTAGGGAAGATGAATTAAAAAAAAAAATAATGATTAAAAAATTGCTTAATGTATTCACATTTTCTTTTAAACTCTTTATCATCTTATACATGATTGCAGATGTAATCAAGAGTCCTGAGTTTACTCCAGTTATCCGGTAAGCATGCCGTTATTAATCTAGTTACATTTTTTGAATAAATGTATATAAGATGAAGGTGCATTACGATTTTCCCCCTCTAAGTTCAATTACAATTTCGTTCAAGATATTAAGTGAGACAAGGCCTATCGTCTGAAATGTTAAGTTTTCATGTTCTTGATTTTTTTTTCTTCTTCCTTTTGTAGGAAATTTAGAAAGTTATTATTAACATTTTATGATGCAACACCATGTAAGAAATGCATATTAACTAAGAAAAAGATACAGTTAAATTTTTGTGATTTACAGAGAAATCGAAGGAACTTCTCGAAATGATCTCGCAGATAAAGATGTCCTGAAAATCGCTGAAAAGCTTTCAATAGACGACTATTATGACCTGGGAGTTGCACTTGGTTTCCAAATTCCACAACTGGATGCGATAGAGTATAAGAGGCTCAAAGACAGACAAGAGGCCATCTACGAAATGTTGATTACATGGAAACAGAGTCAACGGCCAAGTCAAAACGTGAAGGAAGTGCTTCTTTCACTCCTGAAGTCTGCAGAAACAGAGGCAGAAATGACGAAAATGACAGGTTTTACTGTTACTCATTTAGATTTATCAAAAGATTCTTAACATTCTCAAGCATACCAAACATAATGCCTGATGACTCAAAATATATATCACCTAGTTGTATATAGATATGAACTTATCTTTTGATTTAGTTATACATTGGCCATTGTTGGCCATTTATTACACTTCTGCGAAATGAAGAAAGGATGGAAACAACTTCCACAAAGGAGCAATGGATAAAAAGACGCGGTCTCCGTTTTACTTAAAATGAGCATTTGTGATAACGTTACGTACTGCTAAATAATTCAACGTACCATAAAACAGAAATATTCGACTTTAATTTTAAAAATTAAAAAAAGGGGGGAAATGATATAAATATGTGGGTATTGTTCACAATGAAAACACTGCAATATAGTCGTAAATAGTTAGGAAAAAATAACGATTATACTGATGATAATAATTAATAATTAACAATAATGAAAAGTAACAACAACAATAACAATGAATAATGATATTAATATATTAATAATGATGAAGATTAATCATTATTAGTTTTTCATGAAATCATTTGAATCTAAATTAACCTTTTCTTTTCTTTTTCTGCAACAATAACGTCCTTCATATTAGGTCACCGTACTTCAGATAATACTTTAACCGGGTAAGATTTACTTTTGGTCACTTACCCTTACCGTAAATCTAAACCTTTTTTTTTTCTTCACGAAATTAACCAAGAGTGAATTTCGCAGCACCGAGTGTCAGAGCAGACGCTGGTCGAAGCAAACGATCTGTCCTACTGCATGACGAAAATCTGATTGATTAGATCACCATTTTTGTTGAAAAGCAGTTCACTAACCATAAATCCCCAGAACCCGAACCACCGTTAAGGGGATCATGCTTTTGTGCATATTGCACCAGTACTCTGGAACAAGCTGCCAATTTACATTTGAAACATTCAATGCATAGAAACCTTTCAGAAACATGTTTTAAAAGTTTTATTCACTCAGAGTTACTAATGATATTATGTTGTAAAAATTCTGTAGAGAGAGATTTGTGTATTTTGTTTTGTATAGCCTTGAGTAAGTTATTAGATAAGTGCGCTTTATAAGTATTTATTATTATATTATATATTGGACCTACTACTATATTATAAATCGAGATAGTTGTGATTCTAGTATAATGAACATCATTTCTTCTCAATATATTTAGTGACATTTCTGACCAAGACTTGCTTAAATTGGCTCGACATATCAAGTGGACAGACTTCATGGAGATTGGCACAAAGCTTGGACTCAGGCGGAATAAGCTTGAGAACATCAAACACAAGACATTGCAGAATCGCAAAGACGCTAACATCCAAATGCTCTGCATGTGGAAGGCATCTAAAAGACCAGGTCCTGAAGTGACTAAGACGTTGAAGTGCATTTGGGAGTCTGTCTCATTGGCATCAACGGCTGAGAATTCAGGCAATTGTTCTTCTTCATTGTTAATCAATAATAGCTCTATTACTTGTATATGTTGAATATTATATAATTGGTCATTTTAATAAAATGTAAAAACGAACAGACATTTTAACTGATCTTTGTCTTCAATGGAATCGTACAATTAAATTTTTAGTGGAAATAAAAACGGTTTTGAAGCTCCAAGTTGACTAGTATTAGGGCTGATAATGTCATTCATAGCAGTCATTTTGATGTCTCAAAAGCCTGTCTCATGATATAAGACGAGGTAATGGGGGGGGGGGCATCTCTACACTCACCAATGCATAGGATACAGGAGGAAACTACTGTAATACACAAACAACTTAAAACTAAAGCCTCAACAGTCATGACATATGCTATTTAATATTTTTATATTTTTCTCTCAGACGAAAGCTTGCGTAAGATCTCTTCGGCGACTCCTACGATCTCTTCGGCGACTCCCGAGAAAAGAGCCAAACCAAGCGAGCCTATAGAGCCTGAAAATATGGATATCATTACAACAACAGATACAGGTAGACAACAGAATAATAACATCATACAATTGGAACAATGATAGCATTATAAACATGCACTTTGTATAACACAATTCCAGTGGGCATGATAAATATTAAGATATAAAAAATATCAATATCAAACAATAATTTTGAGATTAGAAAATTGATGCACTTCTGAGATGATTTTTCATCGTTTGATTTTGATGTAGAGCGAGATGAAATTAATGATGACCTTGACCAATGTGGGGGTACACCAAACACAGAAGAGCTTTGCAGCGTCGCTCTACAAGTAAAAAGTCTGCCATTAGCACGTTCACTTGGGAAAGCCCTTCGTCTAAATGATGACCTCATTGTTGGATTCATCGATCTACCCAGTTCGTCAGTACTCTATAAGATCGCACGACAGCTCGTAGACAGTTGGTGGATTAGTTTGAAAGAGGAAGAAAAAGAAGATAAGTTTGCTAAGCTTCTCTCGGAGTTTAACATCCAAGACGTCAAAACAGGTTCGTTGGAATCACAAGGCTTAGTTCAATCGTAATCGTGTCGATAAGGAGATATCATTTGTACCCTTTAAAAGAAAAGTTTCAATTTCAAAATTTTAGTTTTTTTTTTTCACATTCCATTTATTCTATTTATTTGCGTTACAGAAGTAACAGAAGATTTTCAGTAGGTAAAGATTTGTATTAAAATGTACCTACAATTTATTTCATTATTTCAGAAACCGTCAATTTCCTCATTCATCACCACCATTATGCTTTGTCCACGTGGATATTTTCCCTCACATTGACCTATTATGCATTCTTTCAGTGTCCGCAGGCCGTGAAGAAATCTCAAAAGCCATTGGATCCAAGACAGATCTACTGGACTTGTGCCATCGCCTGAGTATTAAACCTTCTGGCGTCTTGCAGATCATGAGCACATCTTTGACCTTGCCGCCTCACATGATTGGCCGTAGTGCTCTGAAGATGCTTAAAGAGTGGGTACATCAAGGTGGGACGAGGGAGAGGCTTCTGGAAGTTGCTCAGGCTTTCCGCTTCAACGATGCAGCAGTCAAGATAGCAGAAGGTATTGCCATTTCACACCTCCACAGTGTTTCATATTACATTGACTGGTGTAGGCCTACTGGATCAGTAAGAAAGGATAAACGTTTGAAGAGTTATCATTTTTATTTACGATTGCCTGACTATAGGAGAAACCAACTTGCCCCTTCAAAGAAAATTCATAAATTCGGCGGGAGCTTGTGCACTTGTAACTTTTGTTTAAAGAAATAGTAATCATCAACCATGTTGCTAGATAAATAAACACGAAATTGAAAGGAAATAATTATTTTACCTGTTAACTCTCAAACCTTAGAATCACGTTATGCCACTAAAATAACTTGTTTTTATTGTGCAGAAACATCTCAGATGTTTTGCCAATAATTTATATATTTTTAAACAATGGCCATACCATACTGAAGACAGCAGAGTTCAAAGAAAAGACGTTTGGAAAAGCTTTGTTTCTTCTTTGTTACTCGAATCAAATCCTGACCTAAGATAATTGTAAAATGTGTATTCAAACCCCCCCCCACAAACATACCTTATTACACTCTTGTTTCCCAATTGTTTTACAGTAAAACACCCAAAATGACTGCTTTTGAAAAAGCTATCAACAAAAATTTGCAGAACTTAGTATTTTTTAACATAAATAAAATGCAGTTTATTTTTGTCATGTTTTAATGTGAAGATTATCGATGACTTGTTACCTTCTTATCCTTCAAAGCCATTAAATGCCAACCAAGCTATATGCCTTTCATCTCGCATGGCATCATTGATCACAAGGGTGGAGAACTTGCCGTCGATGAACTTGGTATTGCCGTATCTATCCCTGAAGGAGCTATACCAAAAGGGATGAGATCAGTCGTGACTCTTCGCGTCCCAACCCATTATACTCCTAGGCTTCCTGTACGGGAGGGAGAGATAGTCATTACTCCAGTCATAGAAAGTTCTCTGGCACAAGAACTGCTCAAGCCTGCAACAGTGGTACTACCACACTGTACCAATCACCATGAACGTAAAGACGACCCTTCTGTTATCTTGTACACAAAAACAGGACCAGGTACATATTTTTGTTCTTGTTCTGTTAAAAAACAAGCATCATCACTTGAAATGTGACAATTTGACAAATGAGGTGAATGGCTGATTTCAAATCACATATATAATCAATAGTCTTCTCGTCATGAGGATCCATTGAAAGAATGATTTCTCAATAATAAACGAAACAAATACCATTATGTCATTTGAATCGACTCGCTGAACAAAAATTGAATCAAGTCAATCTACATTCTTTTTCTTCTTTCTTCTTAATTCAAAGGAACATTCGGTCGTAGGAACCTGATTCCGCGCCCGTCACACATTTCGAAAGATAAGATTCATAGACTCAAGTTTCATACACGTCATCTTCAAGTCTGGGCTCTGTCATCGACCGATATTCAAGGACTCCATGCGAGATGTGTAGTCTTCCAGCCTGTCTTCATGACTCCTGCAGAGAAATCAACTCTACATGTGTACATACTTCACCCATATAGGAACTACATAGAGGTGTTTATATCATATAACCTATATCCATCTTTAAGCAGACACCATTCAATAATCTAATTATTAAAAGGTGACCTTTCGGGCTATGAAAGGCTTATGGTAGCACGTTAAAATTCACTGGGTAACCTCTGCTTAGATTTTTTAAAAGACTAAACTGTCCCTTATCAGGGTATATTTTTTGTTAAAGGCTAGGAAGGGAAGGGAGAGAAAGTGATGAGTCTTGGGGAGGAAAGAAAAGTGAAAAAGGAGAATGAGTGTGAAGGAAATAAGAAGGAGGAATGGGATAGATAACAGAAAAACGGCGTGAAAAAGGGAAGGATAGGGGTAAGGTACTTTAATGTTTAAAATCTGTACGCTAGATTATGACATCCACCGGGTATGTACTGTGCCATTTTGAGGAATCTTGTACAATTACTGTGATGCTTGTATCGGTAAATTGCCGTTTAGTCTACAACTCGTTCATCTACTACCACATTAGTGTTTTCTCATATGGTCTACACCCAGCCTTCTACTTTCCAGATGCATGGTCTAATTTTGTCTAATTATCAATTGGTCTAATGACCATTTGGGCTATTGTTCATTTAGTCATAAAAAAGCAGTCGGTCTCATTCCCAGTTTGTCTAATGCCCATTTTTTCTACTATACATAATGGTCTGATAATTATGTAATCATAAATAATACTAATCTTCTGACTGTTTATTTATGAATATATTTCTGCCATTTAATTGTTAAATGAAAAGCAAATCTAAATGAGATGTACATACGTGTAAATAAAGGTTATTCATAGTCCTTTTTTAAAGGTCTCCAATAGCTGACGTTAATCATATGCATGAAGCTTATTTATTTTCAATACCTAGGTTTGAGTTTTTTGTCCGATTCCAGGATATAACTAGGAAGGAGAAGAGTTCTTCTGTACCCTACTGCCAAGTCCTGGATGAACTCAGATTCTCTATAGAGTCAACAGCAAAGGATCTAAAGATTTTGTTCCACGACGGGACAAAAAGTATCAAAAGAATGGTAAATATGCGTAATTGTTATTCACGAGGTATGTTGAAAAATATTAGTGAAATTTGGATATGTACATTTTAGAAGCTGAATTTTTATTCTTTTACATACCTCCTTTTTTCCATATACATGTTAGTTTTCAGGAATATTTTGACATGACTTTTTTAATGAATGCCACAATCAGCTACCTCGAAGGTACATTTTTGGAAAATAATCAACGAATGATCAAATCTCTTTCTTTCTCCCTCAAATGCCAATTTCTCAGCGGAATTTAAGGACTTGCAGGAGATTGAAATAAAAAAAAAACAATCTATGTACTCAGAATTTAGTATGCTTTTCTATGTACCTAATTTTACATTGACACCGTATTCAAGCTAATACTTTTCAAAATGTTGGCACATTATTATTATTATTGTTTTAAAGTTATCACGGTATAAAAACAGAACTTTCTCTCTCATTTAAAAAAAATTTCTATTACAAGGCGGTCGCACCTTGAGGAGGCGCGATAGCTCAGTTGGTAGAGCAGCGGTGTCGTAATCCGGTGACCCGAGTTCGAAACCAAGTCGATGCGCTAGTGCCCTTTGGTAAGGCATAAATTCTCTATAAATATTAACATTATTATTATTAATATTATTTCCCTGCGATTTGAACCAAGGTACCCATCAAAAGAATACTAAGTGGAAAGTGCAGCCCTCTGAATTTCGAACTCCAGTTCTCTCCTGAAGAGAAAGGAAAGAAGAACGTCCATATCGACATACTACAAGGGTCAGCAAAACTTGCAGAAAAAGACCACATCCTTTCAAAAGAGGGTAAGCCTATATTATCAGGAAGTAGGATAGTTTGTGTATTTCACTTCATCAGATGTAGCCAGGTACTTAAAAGACCTTAAATGAATAATTGATGTAACAAGTGACCTCAAATACTGTACATGAGTCATTTTTTGTAACAAGTGACCTGTAAGACCCTACATAAGTCATTCCTGCAGCTATCTACCCCAAATACCCTTCATTGGTATTTTTGTAAGTACACGTAGCTACCCTAACGAAAAACTACAAATAGTCATTTCTGTAACTTCAAGATATTTTTTTATTTTCCTCATTCAATAAGAATTACTCGAATGAGGTTTAAAGCTTTTGTGTTAGGTCCATTGACTCCATACTAAATGCCCTTTTTTAGAATAAGTGGAAAGAGATGGAGAAATATGATGCAAAATACGATACATGTCATAAAAACTCTTTTTTTTAATAGTTTAATTCATTAATGAAATCAGCTATGGGGGTTAACCAAAACAAATCTTCTCGTTTCTCCCACCCCCTTTGAAATGGGAATATTGCATTTTGTGACACTCTTAATTTAAAATTCAGAAACAAAACCATTGAGTTTTGATTAATTTCTCTCTATACACATCCTTTATAAGAAATACATAGTAATTCAGAATACTAGAAAACAAAAACAAATAAACACTTAGTCATATTGTATTTCTTTATTGCGTTTGATGCAGATGAACCGGATTATGCAGTCGATCACACGGATTCGTAAGTGAACAAATATCATCATTCATAAATGAATCGGTCATTCTTGTAATAATATGTATTATGTGAAATTTGATACGTGTATATTATAAAATACCACATTTCAAACTTTGAATCAAAATCATGGCATAGACCAAATTCATAACGATTTCTGACGGGACATATGACCAGGCATTTATCATTCCTAACGAGTATCCATTACTAAAGAGTTGTAATTACCTGTAATTAGTATGGATACTGGTCGAAAACAAGCTTATGATGATAATTATACTCCGCCTTTATGTAGCGCTTAATACATTGACGATGCCTCAAACTGTTTTCAGTCGACTCTTGGTCTATAGATAAGCGTGGTTTATCAAAGGAGAATGATTCCTGTCATCATTTTACAAAGGAATGTACCAACCCTCTATCGACTTGTCTTTTTTTTTTAATTTTGCAAGTTTTTTCAATAAAATGAGTAACAGATGGACATAATGGCGCAAATATACATTTCGATATCTTCTAATATCATTTCCGGCCGATTGTTATGAATTTGCTTTTCTGCAGGCAATGTCTATTGCAGTATGTGTCCGACAATCTTCTCGAGATCCTGACAGATGTGATCCCTTCATTAAAGGAATTAAAGTTCCTTGGCTACCAACTTGGCTTCTCTTATTCAGCTGTAGAGAAATACCTCAACCACCCAGACTCGTCCTTAATATTTGATAATGTGTCAAGGTCAGGCTTTGGTGAGATGCTCCGTGACTGGAGACGGAGGGTTCGACCTAGTGAGCAGGTAGATGAACTTCATCTAGCATTACGAAATGCTGGGTTAGGCCATGCAGCTAAGGTCATCCTACCTGAATGTAAGTACCATACTATCCTCTATCCCCCTTTTCTGGTATGTACTCGAACTATTTCAATTATTGACCCATTATACACATCGAAAGGGACATAATAAATTGGGAAAACAAACTGGTCCTATATTGTAAGAACCCAGCGAGGATTTAACCTTGGACCTCTCATAATCATGAGAGTCCAGAACCATCAATCTACCACAGTGCTTCCCGTATATATACATGAATGAGAGCGTTAATTTAATCCCGGGTTCGTATTTTGTAAGAGCAACAGGAAAGAAGGCTTTGTTCTGTTACCGCCCACATCGAATTGCCCATACTTGAATTATTGTACTGTATTTTATCTTTTATCTTTGAACCTTCATATTTTGTTGATCTTATCTCTCCATAATCACCATTACCTTTAATTATAACACTCAATTAAATGTACTCCAATTACTGTACGTTCTTTCTTCTTCACTGTTGTTTTGTGTACTATCATTAATTAGCATCTTGAAATACTCTAATTCTTGAATTGTCATCCTTACTCTTCTATTTACTTTTACAAATGAACTATAAATGAGTAACACCTACCATTTGGTTTCCTCTGTTTCCCAATTTCTATGTGCACTACCAGTGAGTACCACTTCTAGGAGGCACTATGAACAAGTCAGAAAAGGATGGGAGTCAAAATGAGTAGGCAATCCTGTCATTGGAATGTATATCATCATCCCCACGACAAAGAAGGATCCACTATTATGTATGTATGCAGCTGAGCCTGAAAAGACTACGTCTTCAGAAACACGTATTTTAAGTCTGCATGATTCATTCTCAGTCTGAATCTCGAAGTTGCTTTTTCTTCCGTAGCCAACGCTACTGGGTGTCATGTAGATGAGCTACATAATTATGAGAATGATTTGTTTTTAACTATCTTTAATGATTATAGGGAAATCTAACCTAGTAAACTGAACAAAGATAAAGCAGAAAATATGAAATGTAGACTAAAGAAAGTTATAATAACTACACGTATAGGCAATAGACACTTCAAATTGGCTACTAAAATTTTCTCGCAATCCCCTTATATCTAGGAGATGACTAAAAATACTATTTAACAAAAAATCGACTGAACATTGAAGCCAGATATGTGCGCAGTGTTAAAATCATTTCGATTTCATAAGAATCCTTATAATTTACAGCGTTTTTGATACACCCTACATTATCAAACAGTCCCAATAACCTCATGACAGCTTTCTTTTCATTGCATTGGCATGGCCAGTACTCATGCCTCTTCAAGATGTATCAAAGTTGGTTCAGTTGTCGTATTGGATGCAATTATTTGTTCTTTGTGACAATTTTGTGTGGAAAGCTTTTCAGTTCTATCGCCACAATAATTATATGCCTAGCATAACAACTACAGAAATTATGTTCTTGATATTAATGTTGCATGAACAATTTGTCAGTTGACTTGCTAAAATTATCATATATATAAGACAATTGATAACCCCAATAGATATTCCTATAATGTAAAGCTGTTTCAGTTCTATTAGTACAATTGTTATATACATGAGGTAATAACTATAGTAAATATATGAGTTATTATATGGTTTGTGTGGAAACTGTTCCACTTATATTGCTACAACACTAACGAACATATGATAATGATTACAGAAGAAAATTTCTTGATAGCAACGTTGTATGAAATTCAAACAACGTTGTTTCATTCTGTTGGTACAATAATCAAATAATCTCTGGCTCTCTACTTTTTAGCAGGTTTCATGAAAACCTCACCATTCTTTTCTGTTTTGAGCTCTTTCCTTCATCTCTTGGTATGTATCATTTGCTTTGATACCATCCAATATTATCATTTTTGTCCTTACCCTTCGTATTTTCCTTCCATCCTTCCCTGAATGATTTCTCTCAGGTGTCCATCATGCCGTATTTTCTTCATTGCACGGTTTTATGAGGACTGTTCATTTCTTTTACTACAATGATCTTATACACAAGGTAATAACTGTAATAAATATATGCGTTATTATAAGTTTTTATGAAAACGATTCTAGTTATATGGCTACAACAACCATTTATATAAGATAGCTTAATGATTACAGAGGGTGTTTTCTTATTGCAAAGATGTATGAAACTTTTTTTTTTCTTCAGTTCGATGCTGCAATGATCATGTACATTATGTATTAAGCGCAGTAAATATATGCTTACCATAATGACAATAAGATTCGTTTGAAAGCTTCTCCAGTTGTGTTGCCACAATGATCATGTACATAAAACAATGATAGCAGCGGATAATTTTGTTATTGTAAATTTGTATGAAAACTGTTTCTTCTGTACTGCACCAATCATAAGATGTCTTATAGGCAAACTTTTATTTGAGAGTTTATCATTTATATTATTAAGGCGGAAGAATATCATTGGAGCAATGCTACTTTAAGATTACTGCTGATAAAAATGCTATCATATTCACGATATGACAAAGTAGTTTCAGTCTTTGTAATAGGTTTTGAGGACACAAGTGTGATATCCAATATGTGCCACATAATATGTACAGTGTTTATCTACTGTGTACAGTTTTCAGTAAGATTGCATATCATTATGATTTGTATATATATTCTTTTTCTTGTAGTTTATTGCAATGACGACCTTCGTCATTGCCTTGTTTTCGTTCACATTATTAATATTCTTGGTTCTTCTTATCGTCCGAAAATCCCATTCGTTTTGCACGTTGTGCTTGTTATCACTAATTATGCCCTTTTCTCATGTCCGTTTCCTTTCAAATTTCATAGGCATAGTCTCTAACATCTCATCAAGGTCACTACATTCTTCGATTTTCGAAATCACTCATGCATAACCGTCCAGGTGCCATTTTGTTCGTTTCTGGTCCATTTTAAGGCCTTTCTATCTTCCTTCCTATCTCCACTATCCTAGATCCTACAAACTTCTAACAAGTTCCTCTAGATAATCTAAGAGGTGTTCTTTCATCTGCGACAAATAACCTGACCTTCAAAATGCCATCTTTGTACTCAAAATTCAAATCTGAAACCGACTCCGTCAAAAATCTCTCAAATTCTTGAGAAATTAACCCTAAATAATCTAAAACTGCCATAACTTTCTCATATAAATTCCGTTTTGTCTTTAAATCTCACAGTATCTTAATCTCATAAATGCACATAGCTCTGCCAAATTTCACGCTCCAATGGCTTTGCAAAACATAAATAGCGCCCTCTAAAGTTCTGGGAATTGGCTTTCTTTCTGTGGCCGTATCTCCATTATGGCTTGGCAGACCCGTCCCCTTTTTTGGATTTAGATACTTGAACATATGCCCTTTCCAGCCATATACAAAATTATATACCCTAACACTGACCGACTTTGAGAAAAATGCCCTCCAAATATGCAGTTTTAAAAAAAATTTGAGAAATAACTTCAACTTGCTCTAAAATGACGATCCTTATACGTACGTCAATGAAACTTGGCAGACACATGTATCCATATATGTGACAACTGTCTGCCAAGTTTGATAAAATTCGAATATGTCAGCGCAAAGTTATCGCCAAAAATGATGAATTTACTATGCATTACGTAATAGCGCGTTTAATGCGTGTAATACATTGCGCGCATATAACAATGGTGACAAACTGACTGCAATGAAGTGCCCTTTCGAATGATACCAAGTATAGTATATGTTCACACAGAAAATTGTGAGTAAATCGCATTTGAACAAAGGTCACTACACGAATTCCGCCCGAATCTAACACATATCGGCTATGACGTAATTTTTCAAAATGCTTTTCGCCCCCTAAACGTCCTTTTTTTCCTTGAAAATTTGCAGTGACATGCCGAGTTGCAATACGCAGGGCACCTCATGGCCGGATTTTTGAAATTGGTTAAGGGGGCCATTTAAGACGCCATTTTGTCCTATAAATCTATTTTACATCACGTGTTTCGATAGGATTATCATAGAAAAAAAGAGAGTGGTTTACAATAACAATCATAAAATTCTCTTTCTAATGATACCAAATACGGCCCATAAAGAGACATAAAGAGAGAGAGAAAAAACAATTTAACTCTGGTCATAATACAGATCCTGTACGTTTTCCGCTCATGCATTACACGCATTGTCTATGGGGGCATATCGGGTTCACGCTTTTGACCCCCAGAACGATTTTGGTTGCAATGACACATATGCACCAAATCCCCTTGGTTTTTGCACGCAGTGCTTGCGAGCCCTTTCTACGTCCTTTCCCATATCCCAATTTCTTTCAAACTTCGTAGGCATAGTCACTACCATCCCATCAAGGTCACTGTTGAGGCCTTTCTTTCGCCCTACCTATCTCCAATATCACAGAAGCTATATTACAGACTTCGTACAAATTGCTCTGGATAGGGCGAGAGAAGCTCTTTCGTTTGACACGTAGAAACATGGCGTCATTGCACGCACATCGTTGTGACACGATTGCATTTCTAGTTTCAGTTGATATGGTCCTTCATGGTTAAGTCTCGGAAAGGAATTGATATTAGTATATGTTTTGTTAACGTTATCGTTTCTTGTATTCAGCATACTCTATTATCTATCCTCATTTTTTCATATTTGTTTCGCGATTTTTTAACTATTGCCTTGCACTGCGTTTAATATTATTTTACGTTTGCCACATGTCTATCATGTCGATTGTGTCGATGTTCTTTATAAGGTTGTATGAATACTATTTTAGTTCTATCGCTACAATAATCCTATATATGTGATAACGATTACATAATGCATGGCCGTCATTAATATCATTTAACGTTTTTAACATGTCTATCATGTCGATTGTGTCATGGTTCTAATACCAAAATGTACATCAGTAATGAAACTGTTCTCAGAGTCCATGCATGTGTTCTATAGAGCAGCACACTCCTAAACATATGCATATGATATTTGCAGAAAATATTTTTCTTTATAAGGTTGTATGAATACTGTTGCAGTTTTGTTGCTATGATAATCATATATTATGATATTGATATCAGAATATTTTTTTTTGTTTTGTCAGGTTGTATGAATACTATTTTAGTTATATCGCTACAATAATCCAATATTTGTGATAATGATTACAAAATATGTTTTATTTATTGTAACGTTGTATGAATACTGTTTATTATGTTGCTACGATGATATTACATATCAAGTAATAAATACAATAAATATATGGTTCATCATAAGGTGGTTTCAAAGCTGTTAATTTTTTGTTGTTAAACAAATCATGCTTTTGAGACAACAATTACAGACTATATTGTTATTACTATGAGGCTGTATATCTAGTGATTCATGTGTAATGCTACTGTGACTATGTAGATAAGACGATAACTACAGAAAATATTGCAAGGTTTATTGAGGACTGTTCATTTTACAATGATCGTGTACATTTAGTTATAACTGAAAAGAATATGTGCGTTATTATATTGTTTTATGAAAACGGTTCTAGAGTTGTATGGCTTTAACAATCATTTATATAAGATAGCTTAATCATTACAGAGGATATTTTCTTATTGTAAATATGTATGAAACATTTTTTCCTTTAGTTCTATGCTGCAATGATCATGTACATTATTTACTAAGTGCAGTAAATATATGTGCTAACTATAATAACAATGGAATTTGTATCAACAGTACTCCAGTTGTGTTGCCACAACGATTATGTACATAAAACAATAATAGCAGCGGATAGTTTTGTTATTGTAAATTTGTATGAAAACTGTTTCTGCTGTATTGCACCAATCATAAGGTGTGTTCCTTCAGTTCTATATGCTGCAATGATCATGTACATTATAAGTGCAGTAAATATGTGCTTACTATAATAACAATGGAATTTGTATCAACAGTACTCCAGTTGTGTTGCCACAACGATTATGTACATAAAACAATAATAGCAGCGGATAGTTTTGTTATTGTAAATTTGTATGAAAACTGTTTCTGCTGTATTGCACCAATCATAAGGTGTGTTCCTTCAGTTCTATATGCTGCAATGATCATGTACATTATAAGTGCAGTAAATATGTGCTTACTATAATAACAATGGAATTTGTATCAACACTACTCCAGTTGTGTTGCCACAACGATTATGTACATAAAACAATAATAGCAGCGGATAGTTTTGTTATTGTTAATTTGTATGAAAACTGTTTCTGCTGTATTGCACCAATCATAAGGCGTGTTCCTTCAGTTCTATATGCTGCAATGATCATGTACATTATAAGTGCAGTAAATATGTGCTTACTTTAATAACAATGGAATATGTATCAACACTACTCCAGTTGTGTTGCCACAACGATTATGTACATAAAACAATAATAGCAGCGGATAGTTTTGTTATTTTAAATTTGTATGAAAACTGTTTCTGCTGTATTGCACCAATCATAAGGCGTGTTCCTTCAGTTCTATATGCTGCAATGATCATGTACATTATAAGTGCAGTAAATATGTGCTTACTATAATAACAATGGAATTTGTATCAACAGTACTCCAGTTGTGTTGCCACAACGATTATGTACATAAAACAATAATAGCAGCGGATAGTTTTGTTATTGTAAATTTGTATGAAAACTGTTTCTGCTGTATTGCACCAATCATAAGGTGTGTTCCTTCAGTTCTATATGCTGCAATGATCATGTACATTATAAGTGCAGTAAATATGTGCTTACTATAATAACAATGGAATTTGTATCAACACTACTCCAGTTGTGTTGCCACAACGATTATGTACATAAAACAATAATAGCAGCGGATAGTTTTGTTATTGTTAATTTGTATGAAAACTGTTTCTGCTGTATTGCACCAATCATAAGGCGTGTTCCTTCAGTTCTATATGCTGCAATGATCATGTACATTATAAGTGCAGTAAATATGTGCTTACTTTAATAACAATGGAATATGTATCAACACTACTCCAGTTGTGTTGCCACAACGATTATGTACATAAAACAATAATAGCAGCGGATAGTTTTGTTATT